TCTCACTGACATGTGGGCCTCGATGTCAGTTTGACTTGCTGACGTGGCTTTTGACTGGCCCCACACGTCAGTGACTCATGCCAGCGGTGTGTCACTGACCAGTGGGCCCCACTGGTCAGGTTTGACCCGGACCAGCCCCTGTTGACTATGCTGAGGTCAGCATGACCTAGTGCTGACGCAATAATTCCTTTCTGGAATTTAAATAAATCTAAAATGATTTATTAATTTCAGAAAATAGCTAAAACTTCAATAAATCATAGAAAATTAACCGTAACTCCAAATGAAATAAATTATATATGAAAAATTATCAGAAAAATTCAAGGAATCCATCTGTACCATTTTCATGCATGTTAGAACAACTTATAGCTGCTGTTTAGTACAAATCAAATAAAGGGCATTTAAATATCCACATATGGAGTTTGAATTTGAATCTTGGATTCAAACCAACTTCATTTAATTTGGTGCTAGTTGCATTAGCCCAAAACACATTCATTTTGCCATGTCATGATCATGCATCATACTGTGCATTGCATTGATTGTGTTCCTTTCTGTGTTGCCGGTATTTGTCCCCTCTCGATAGATGTGATACCGATGACGTGATCGTTGACACTGATGAAGACTCAATGTTATCTTCAGAAGTGCCAGGCAAGCAAAACCCCCTTGTCCATTCCGATACAATCCTACTCTCTCGCTCCTGCTCTCTTTTACTGCATTAGGACAACAACGACATATTTGTTACTTGCTGCGGTAGCTGAACCCCTTTATCCTTTGCATGACCTGTCATTCCACAGTAAATAGATGAAACCCACTAGTATGAGTAGGAGTTGTTTGAGCCCTGTTGTGCCTACTCATTCATGCTTGTTTGTCATGCCTGCTACTGCTTAGAGTTGAGTCAGGTCTGATTCATCGGGGATGAATCAGAGGCGTGTGAACATGTCCTACTATGTGTGAGCTAAGTGTGTGAACACGTTTTGGTAAAGGTAGCGGTGAGAGGCCATGTAGGAGTACATGGTGGGTTGTCTCATCGCAGCCGTCCTCAGGAACTGAGTTCTGTGTTTGTGATCCATGATTCAGCTACTACCACGCATTAGGCCCGAAACCAATGGACCCTCTCGGCTTCTTAATCACCCTTGTCCTCTGTCCAGGAGTTGCAAGTAGTTTCTGGTGTTTGTAGTATGCTGGAGGCCGTGCGCAGCGCTGACCGTAGGGGTGGGCTGTGATGCGGTAGGCACGTGGCACGGTGTACCGGGCGCCCGTTTGGTGTCTCGGGAACCCTGTTCACATCGTTTGGGGCTGTGAGCGAAACTCCGGCCGGATCTCCTCATGGATGGAACCCGAATAGGCGATAAACCTGGACTAGAGACTTGAGTGTTTAGGTAGGCCGTGGCCGACACCCACGTTGGGCTTCCGCTTGAAGGTTGCCGAGTACATGTCGTGTAAACGGCGGTAAGTGGTGAGAGCGTGTGTGAAGAAGTACACCCCTGCAGGGTTAATATGATCTATTCGAATAGCCGTGTCCGCGGAAAAGGACTTCTGGGTTGCTTATATCAGTTCATAGACAAGTGAAAGTGGATACTCTAAAATATGCAAGATAAGCGTGAGTGCTATGGATGGCATTCTCGTAGGGAGACGGGAGTGGATCCATAGTGGTGTATTGATATGGTGAATATGTGGACTCGTGTGCGCCAACTCAAAGAGTCACTTGCAGTCGTAGTTTAGGATAGCCACCGAGTCAAAGCTGGCTTGCTGCAGTTAAACCCCACCATCCCTTTGTTGATAATGATGCATATGTAGATAGTTCTGATGTAAGTCTTGCTGGGTACATTTGTACTCACGTTTGCCTATTTTATGTTTTTGCAGAGAGACTTCAGTCTCACTAGTAATTCCGCGTGGTCTTCGACGTTTAGCTTGATACCTCAGCTACGATCTTGTGCCCTCGGCAGGATCTGATAGATAGTCAGGCTTCTCAGCCTTTTTCATTTATAGTTGTCTGTACTCAGACATGATAGCTTCCGCTTGTGCTTTGACTTGTATGCTCTGAGTGTTGGGTCATGAGACCCATGTTTGTAATATCTCGCTCCTCGGAGCCTATTGAATAAACTACTTGAGTCGTAGAGTCATTTTGTGATGCCATGTTGTATTGCACATATCGAGCATATTGTGTGTATGTTATTGAAATGCTTGGTATGTGTGGGATCTGACCATCTATCATATGGATGCTAGCGACACTATCATATACGTGAGCCAAAAGGCGCAAACGGTCCCGGGAAAAGGTAAGACGACACCCGTGGGAATACCGTGCGTGAGGCCGCAAAGTGATATGAGGTGTTACCAGCTAGATCGATGTGACATCGAGTCGGGGTCCTGACAAGTGTCGCGGAGGGCTAAAAGGATGGCCCGTTTTGATGCCTCCTATCATGTCATTCGACGTACGGCAGCGCATAATAATTTTCAGAAGGATCTCATTGAGGAGTGGTGGGCTTGGAATGGCCGTCAAAGAGTATCATGATTTGCGCGTTTGATGTTGTATTGTTGAACTATTTGTTGTATTTAATGAAAGGTATCATTTGTTTGAGTTGTAATAATAATTTGAACTATTTATTATTGATTTATTTTGTTTGTGTTTGATCTTCTAGCTTGTGTTTGGAGCGCATATGTTGTTTGTGCGAGAACGCGCACTGCATTTTAGCGTGTCTACTAGAACTACGCCCGGCTGCTGGAGCCAGCGCTGCGCGCCACGCCAACCTGGCGATGGGCGCGCCGCAAACCAGTTTTTAGCGCGCCGCGCATTGGGCGGCTGTTGGAGATGCTCTAAGCAAGCGTTCTCCAGTGGAGATGGCCCAATTAGTGGTGCCTATGTCTACGTGCTCGACTATATGACTAAATGTGGAGCGGTCGATGCTACATATCACTCACAGTGAGCGAGAAGCGTCGCGTCTGTGTCCGGCAGCTACTACATCGACCTCGACCGCGAGCACGACTCTCCAATAGCGAGACAGAGAGAGTGCGTAGCTGAGGTTTCTTCCGAGTTGTTTCATTCAAATTATGAATTGGGAAAAGCTTCTCAAGTTTTCAAAATGGTTCATGTTTTTTTAATTCAAAAACTGCTCATGAACACACAAAATATCACAATTTCAAAAATATCTTAATGACTTCATATTTTTGCAAAATCGAAAATGCTCAAGTGAATAAAAAATATCAAATAACTTTTGATAATGCGAATGATTGTTGAAATTTATTATATAGAAAATTGTGAACAAATTTTGAAAATCCAAGCATTTTTTGAACTGTAAATAAATTTTGAAATTTAAAAAAAAACATGAACAAAATTTAAAAGTGTGAACAATTTGTTAAATTTCAAATTAAAATCGAAAATAGTGATTTTTTAAAATCAAAAATGGAAAATAGAAACCTAAAAACTAAAAATTAAATAAAAGTAAAAACGAAATAAAATAGTAAAATAAAAAATCGGTTTGCTTGCTCGATTTCAAAAGGTTCCGAAAATCGGTTGTAACAGTTCGCTCGCTCGCTCCCCAAATTAACCAGCCCAGCGCTCACAATGAGCGATACCTAGCATTTGTGACTATGAGTTCTTCTATTTTGTGCATGGGATACAGTATAGGGATGGAAACACGCTCCCCCCCCCCCCACCCCCCAAGGGGCCGCGACCCATTTTGAGACAACCTTTTTTTGAGACAACATTACTGTCAATTTTGAAAAAAGTTCTCAAATCTGAAAAATGATTTGTGAGTTTTTTCAATTCAAAAATAGTTCCTAAATATAAAAGAATTCACGGTTTAAAATATTCATGATTTAGAAAAACAAAACATGACTTCGAAAACTATTGATGAATTAAGGATTCTGAATTTGAAAATTGTAGGTGGATTCATAAAATGTTCACGAACTGGAGAAAAAGTTCATAATATTTAAAATAAGTTCGAAAATTTGAAAATAACTATTTGAATTTTAAAGATATCACAAATTTGAGAAAGTTGAAACAAATTTAAAAGTAATTGTATTTCAAAAAAAATGCGCGCATCGGAAAAAGGGTGAAAAGAATAAGGAAATAAAAAACAAAAAAAAGAAAAAAAAACATGATGCAGAATGATGGAAACGAAAAAAAAAACAGGCTGGGAAGCTTCCCAAAAGCGGGATACATGGGCCGGCCTAACAGCTTCGTTGCTCCGAGTACCTTATTTATTACTCCCTCTGTTCCAAAATAAGTGTCTCAACTTTATATTAGTTTTAGCACCAAATTGTACTAAAGTTAAGACACTTATTTTATGATGGAGAAAGTATCATTCATGACACATAATAGCATAACTTTATTATGATAAGGTATTATAATATGACACTCATTCTTTTTGCATTTAATGCATGATATTGTCTATGATACTCTCATTTTGACCTGCCTAACCGTTATACAGATTTGGCTAAATGGAGACATACGCAAACGCAGTTTAATTCCGCCTTTCTCACAAAAAGATGTATGGAAAATCAAAAACCACATGCACATTTTGGAAAATGTCAGGAATTAACAAGTAATAAATAAAATTTGATAAAAATCACGAGTTTTAAAATTGTGCATGCATTCAAGAAATATTCACAATTTGTTTTTACAAATGTTCAAAAAATTATAAATGCCCATGACTTTAAAAATAAAAGTTCTAGAATAGTTTTAAAAACCGCTGATGGATCTTAAAAAAATGTTCAATAATTTGAAAAGCGAAAAAAAGGGAAAATGGCAGAAAGAAGAAAGCGTCCAGGGATGGTTCGATTTCAATTCAATGCCTCGCGCGCGAATTGACTTACAACAAAAATTTTCCAAGCAATTAACACATAGCTGCCTCTTTATTTTCAGGCAACATATCGCATGCATCCTGAGCAACTCAGTCGAGACGATGGTACAAAATAAGTGCAACAGGACAGTATCCCAAAAAAAAAAGTGCGACAGGGCAGGAGGTTCAGTAACCAACAGCTCCCGGCCGGTAACAGAGCAGTCACCTGAGCGCGGCAAGGAATTCCTGCATGCTCCGGTGGCTGGAGCCGCCCGGGGCAACGGCCTTGGTCGCCTCCCGGCCGACCTCCTTAGCCCTCGCCGAGATCGCCTCGTCGCCCATCACCGCCTTCACCTTCTCTGCTATCTCCGCCGCGCGCACCAGCGAGCTCTCGCTGTCCCAGCTCCAGCGCTCCAGCCACAGCCCGAAGCCGGCGCTCCTGATCACCGTTGCCACCAGGCGCTGGTCGCCCAGCGTCATCGGCCACGCCAGCATCGGCACGCCGCACGCGGCCGACTCCGTCACCGAGTTCCACCCGCAGTGGCTCACGTACAGCCCCACGGCCGGGTGCCTCAGGACCGCCTCCACGTCCACCCACTCCTTGATCACCAGGCCGCGCCCATGCACGCGCCCCAGGTGTTGGCACGGAAAATCCCCGCGCAACATCAAGATAATTATCGTGATTTCGTGACGACGAATGATTGCTTTCCGAGCAAAGCAACAAAAATCCCTCGCTTTCGTGGAGGACAACCGACTGCTTTTCAGCAAAAAAGGGCAAAGATTACCAAACCCTAGGTCTCCTAGGGCTCAGCAGAGAACTATAGAGAAAAAGACATACGTAAAAAAATAGTGTTTGTATTGATAGATCGATTGGTATCTCAATCGGCCACGGCCTTACATTTATATTGGCACGCTAGACTTGGCGTATACGAAAACAATTTGAAAGCTAAACCGGCTAGAATCTGTCCATCTTGATTGGATTACCATGTATAGCACGATTACCATATATATATATATATATATATATATATATATATGTATATATATATATATATATATATCACTTTACGTTTTTAATCGGCCGTCTAACATGTATAGCTAACCTGCATGGCAACCTCTCTTGGCCATTTTCACAGTATAAGCACTCCTTGCCTTGCCTTTTATGAATAAAATATTCCGGCAACGTCGCTAATCATAACACATAATGGCGATCACTTATGAATCATATTTCTTCACTCTTCACGTGTATTTCTGCATGTTGCACTTTCCCTCTGTGTAACTCCATCCATAGCATTGCAATCTTCAGCTTTGACCTCTGATCCTTGTTAGTACTTGTCCTAGGTAGCATTGTGGTAACTTCGAGATACCCTGAGTCTGGTTAGGACATGTCCCAAGTATCCTCTTGTCCATGTCCTGTTGCAATCTTTAAACAAAATAGTAACTGATTAGCTTGGATGACCACTAATTAATTTGGCCTATCAACAAACTATTAGCCAAATTACACCATGAACACATGTCCCCCTGTTTTTGGTATAATTGTGTTCACCAAAAACATATTATTCCTTACGACAATGTCGATAACTTCATCAGCCATATAGTTGCTTAGGGCGATAAAAATTATATCGTCCAATTTTACTTAGGGGGATACTTGCAATAACATATGGGCCACATTATCTCATGTTTCCTTGGACATGCTATGACAGTACTTTTTTGAATATTTTCCGTTGGGAGCTTTGGGCAACTTCTCCCCCACAATGTGCTTCTCCCTCCATGTTATTTTCGGCACCATTGGTTTTTCCTGATCGAACAAGCGCTTCTTCTCGACTATCTCTTCCTTCATTTCAAATGCCCGTAGTCTTTGCACACGTCGTTTCTGAGTGTGTGTGAGTCCCGTTGGACACCACCAAAGTCTTGGTTTAGTCTCTAGTGCAGCTGACTTAATTCTGTTGCCCCCTGAGTCTCTCGGCCTGTACTGACGTACTTCTGCTTTTATGGAAAATATTTTATCTCTGGCCGAAATACCTCTCTGCTGATCATGTCCATTACTAGCTTTAAATTTCTGGCCGCGTACATTGCTTAAATCCAAATTAGTGCTAGATTTGAAATTTTTGGATGCTCCTGGGCCACAACCTCCCATGAATAAATCAGCATATGAGCTTGCCGATTTAGACCGTTGATTAGTACATGAGGATACAATGAATTCTTTGATCTGTCCAAAACCAGTTTCCTTTTCAAACTGATTACGTCGGACGGTTTGCTGCAACTTCACGCCATCACTATTCTCCTCTGTACCTATGGCTTCAATTTTCCCACTGTCTCTAGTAAATTCATCAGCAGATGCATCAACCAACTCACTAGTGCGTACAATTTTCTTGTCTACATGTGTCTGCACACTAGGCTGCAAATCATCTTGTAAACTATTATCTTTTATTGCGCTAATCTTGGTGTAACCACACACAGTCCCATCATGTACTTTTGCATCACTTCTACGATTGATCGGCACCCACATAAATTTTTGACCACCTATATGAACTTCACCATCTGCACTGCGTACCGATGACCGGTCCCTTTGGACAACAATTGCATCACATGATCTAGCTGCCTCATTGAGCGGAGCCCTTTTCTCATGTATGTTTGCTCTGAACATAGGCCTCGGCGGAACCCATTTTGGGTGAAAATAACCTGGCACTATAGGATATGGCACCCAAGGATTAAAACCCCATGGAGGAAACTACGGGTACATAGGAGGTGCACCACCCCAATACGTCGGCTCCATTGCAATATAGGGTTGTTGGTCATTTAAATTTCTTTGCCATTGCTCATGACCGCCAGGTCCAGAAGGAGATCTAAGACGTTTATTCTCTCCAAGCCGGTTAAACACATTGCTGGTCTTGCGTGAGGTGTACTTTTCCAACAACATGCTAACTGACGGCTTTGGTCTTGGAGCTTGTTTCCTTCTTCCATTGACTTTCAAACTCCTACTTCAGGATTTTTTTGTTTGATCATCCTTGGAGAAGCATTATCATCAACAACATTTTTCTTTCTTGCGGATTCGGTCTGATCCGACCGAATAAGAATTTTCTTACTCTCAAGCTCGACTACATTGATAGGGAAAACGTCACTATCGAGCTTCACCTTAGAACTTTCTGTAAACGTCAATCGTCCTTCATTAATGGCCGATTGCACCTATCGACGAAACATGTTACAATCATTAGTAGCATGAGAGAAAGAATTGTGCCACTTACAATAAGCTCGTCTACCCAACTCTTCTAGAGGTGGAATTACATGGCCCTCTCTCACTCTAATTATTTTATTTTGCAGTAACATATCAAAAATTCTATCACACTTGCTAACATCAAAAGTGTATTTTGTTTCATCTCTTCTAGCAGGCCTGGGCTTCAAAGCAGAGCATGCAAAGGGTTTTGACTTTGACGCTGGAATCCATTCGGCTACACATATATTAATGTCAACTTCACTAGCCGAATTACTATCATAATCAAAGGCATTACCTACATGATTATCCTCCTCATTATCAATATTATCTTCAAACCGGCTATATCGTTTAATCCCCTTAGTCCGGTTTTCTTGCGCCAAAGCCTTCTGCAAAACTTGATTAACATCTAAAAATTCTTGCCCTTCTAGTTTATCCTTAATATGAGCAAGAAGACCCGAAAAGGCAAGACCGGCTAAATCCTTTTCGGCTATGGTCAAGCTGAAACATCGGTTTTTTACATCCCTAAACCTCCTAATGTAATCATGAACGTGCTCATTATATTTCTGCCTAACCATAGTTAAATTTGAAAGCCGAAGTTCTGTTTCACCGCTATAAAAGTACTCATGAAATTTTTCCTCCAATTGTGCCCATGTAGAAATAGAATTAGGAGCAAGCAATGTAAACCAAGTAAATGCAATACCGGACAAAGACAACGGAAATAATTTAATCCTATAAACATCCGATGTGCCGATATCACAACATTGGGCTAAAAATTGTCCGATATGCTCGAAAGTGGATCTACCATCTTCCCCTGTAAACCTAACAAAATCAGGAATTCTAAAATCGCGAGGATAAGCCGTCAAATCGAAGTAATCAGGGTATGGTTTTGATATGCACGTGCTTTACTCTTAGGTTCTAAACCGAATTATCTTAGTATACTAGCAAGCTTATCCTTAAAACTATCATTCGGCTGTAAGAACTAGTTTGTGGAACAGATGGAACGCTAGCACGTGATAGAAACTCCGGCAAAGAAATTTGAGCTTGTGATGCTTGCAACAGAGACCCATTAAAATATGAATCAGGTACCGGCCCGCACGGAATCCTAGTACTGACAGTCAATAGCGGTGGTGTACTATATTCTAAAGTTGGATAAAAAAGTTGTTGCAAACTAGAATTAGAACTAGCACTTCGGTTATTGCTGTTGTGATTTTGTGGAACCAAAGTTGAGACAATAGGAGCAGCTACGCTAGGCATAAAATTATTAGCCGAACTGCTCTCATAGTTCCGGCCACCTTGATCACTATTTGAAGGAACATGGGGCTGCACAATGTTATTAGCCGATGCTCCAGGTGTATGATTATTACTAGGAAAGTTAATGAAGCCACTATTCTCAATCGGTATTTTCTCAGAATAATCATAGTTGATTTGCAGCACTAACGACCGAACATGACTAGGTAAAATATTTTCAAGATCTTTGTGAAGCTGCTCCTTAAATTCCTCAATTCTATTAGCTACTGATTGAGTAATTGTGTGTGTCGTAGTTTTCACATCAGAATCATACTTGGTAGCCACGCACATATCAATTAGATGGGAAATTTCTTTGGTTGACTTTTTTACCTCGGTGTTGATCAAATCTGAAGGGTTCGGCACATGTACCTTCTTGACGACGCCAATCCTTGTCTTGCAGTATCTAGTCAACTTTAATTTTAGTCGCTCGGCCATCTCTTTCTTAAGCTCTTGTTCAAGCTCGCGCCGATCATCTTCAGACAGATCGTCGAGTGTGACGGCGATGACATTCTCCGGGTCGATGTCGCTCCCGTTCCTGGACTCGGTATTCATCGTGTGCCTCTTCTTCTTCTCGTCCCCAGCGGAGTCGCCAATTGTGTTGGCACGGAAAATCCCCGCGCAACACCAAGATAATTGTCGTGCTTTCGTGACGACGAACGATTGCTTTCCGAGCAAAGCAACAAAGATCCCTCGCTTTCGTGGAGGAGAATCGGCCGCTTTTCAGCAAAAAACGGCAAAGATTACCAAACCCTAGGGCTGTTAGGGCTCAGCAGAGAAGAACAATAGAGAAAAAGACATACGTAAAAAAGTAGTGTTTGTATTGATAGATCGATTGGTATCTCAATCGGCCACGGCCTTACATTTATATTGGCACGCTGGACTTGGCGTATACAAAAACAATTCCAAAACTAAACCGACTAGAATCTGTCCATCTTGATTGGATTACTATGTATAGCACGATTACCATATATATATATATATATATATATATATA